GCTTCTGACTATCCTAGGCACCTTATTTTAGTGGGATCATGCACTATTTGTCTTTCTGTGACTGGCTTATTTCCCTTAGCATAAGGCTCTCAAGGTTTATCCACATTAGAGCATATGCCACAATTTTTTAAGGGGTGCTTCCCCACCCCCAAGCAGAGACTCCCCAGAGATTAGGGGTTGACTCTGTATGATTCTGAGGTTTGGTATCATGGGGTCATTTGCCAAGTTCTTTGATATTTAGCTTGATTGTTAATAAAAGTGAGATTTTGATTCTCTAACTACCATCTCCTTTATTCCAGTTCTCAACTGGTTCAGAAAGGGGAAGAGTGTTATTTATTGGACCTGCTCTAAGGCTCCAACAAAGCTGGAATTATGACTTTCCTTAAACATCTTGAAAATTTAATGCAATTAGTTGATGGAATGCAGATTCGACAAAAGTTTGTTGCATACTTGCTGGCTTTACTCATTTCCTGAACAAATGTTTTTTGAGGACCTACTGTTTGTTGCAAGCTGTGCCTTAGCAATGAGCAAGACAAAGTCCCTGGCATTAATAATTTACAGTGGGAGAAAAACAGCAATGGCTAGAGGACATTGTTATAAATTATGATTATACTTAGAATAGAAATAAAGTTCAAGAAAGAATAAGAAACGCAGAAGGTAACTTTTGCTAGAGTGTATTTGGTTAAAGGCAGATCTCACCTTTGCATGTTCTACCGTGAATTAAAATTAATTATGATGTTTGAATGGAGGCAAAGCCAATAGTTACTAAACTACATGTTTAGTAGTACGATTTTCAGTCTCCCCATAATCTGCATGTTTCTACTAGACTTATGACACATAGCCATGTGTTCATTTATTCAGCCAGTGCATATTTTCTGCCAGGAAATCTGACAGGGGCTAAGGATACAGGGATCAATAAAGAATTCTCACTGCCCCAAGGAGCAAACTATCTAGTTGAGAGAGCCAGTGACATAAATAAATAATTATAACAGTGCAATAAGCTATGGGAAGATTATGAAAACAGAGTAGGGAGTGATTAACTCAAGATGTGGAAGCTGGGGAATTTCAGGTAGAGCTGGTATAAGTATCTGCGGAAGCACCAAAGCAATGAAAAGCATGGCTTGTTTTTCAGTGCAGCAGGAATGAAGTTTGCGAGGGAGAAAGCGTGGCTGATGTACCAAAGTTCTGGAATTCCAGAGCATTTTCAGCATTCCTCAGAAACCAGACCTTGTAGCCTCACCTTTTGCACTGAAACTCTCTTTTTCACCTTATCTTGATTATAATTCCCGCCTGACAGGTAAGCAAACCAAACCTCAGTGAAGTGATTTGTCCAGGTCATGCTGCTGGTAAGGAGCAGAGCCAGGCTAGAACGGATTTCACTGGTATTGATTTAAAGTTTATGGAAAGAGGGTTAAGACAGCTTTAAAAAAATATCTGTCTCACAAAGTTCACTTTCCTGTTTTGTATAAAATTTCTGTTTAGTCCTTAGAAAAGTATATAAAATTCTCCAAGAATTTAATGGTTGTGGACCTATCCATGCCCTCTAATGAAATTATAACTGGGGGGAAAAGGCAATCCATTTAATTCTAAGCTAAAACACAACAGACAAAATTTAAGAATGAAAGGGAGTGAGCTTTAAAAACAAGGAAAAAGGTCAGTTTAATTATTGCTTTGCTCGGCCCATGTGTAAACAATTTCTTGCTTAAGCTCTTGTTGGGTAGAATAAAAAGATATTTTCTGAAGTATTCGAAAGCCATGTTTAGTGAATTTGAATTTGTCTTGGTTTGTATTTAAGAGGACAATTAATGAAAAAGAGGGATTTAAAAGTGACTTATGCACTATCTCCACTAATTATTTTTTATAAGGACTGATTCGTGATTCAGAGTGCTGTTTTTTTCTTCCCTTTGCATGTCCAAAGCAGAAGTAACGCATGTGTGTGCTGAGGCATATCAAAGCCTGGCTGAACCTTCCTTAGCAGGTCTGGTGGTTTGATGTTAGTTCAAAGGAAACCTCCAATCCCAAAGACTTTTAAATTTCTTTCTGCAAAATAAATTAAATGCAAAAAGCCAACATAAACCTTTCTATGCCTCTATGTGAGTGATATAACCAAGTTGTTTCTCTCCAAAGTGTTCTTTGGATATATGTGTTTTTCTTGCACATAGCATATATTTGTATGATGTTCAAAATATGACTCTATCTTGAAAAGATGGACCAAGAGGATGGGGCTCTTTTGAAGGATGCTCTGTGCCTGGTTCAGGGCAGGACACTGTGGGGTCTCAAATGCATGAATGCTATGTTCTAATTTATTTTTCGCACTGAAGTTTCCTACAGCACACATGTAAGCATGTCACTCCCTCTCCCCAAATTGAATAAAGAAAACCATCCTTCATTCGCCTTGTAGGTCCTGCAGGGTCTGGGTCTTTTCTGCCTTCCCAGACCCATCTGGGATCTTCCTCATTCTTGTGTCCTTTGTCTTTGTGTTCCTGTGGCAACTGCGCTACCACAGGGCCTTCGCACAGCTCTTCCCTTCCTCCAGGAAAGTACTTTCCTACCCTCTTTGCCTCATGTAACCCCTATTATTAAGTCTCAGCTCTCACCACTGCTTCAGGTAAACCTTCCTTGACATCCTTGTGTAATTCAAACCTTCTATTATGTGCTCCCACATGACTGTGCACCTCCAATATTGTGATATAATTTGAAATAGATATTTAGTCTTCATGCCCAGTTCCTGACACAGAGTTCTAAACCCCTTGGAATTTCTGAGTGATAATGCGAGGGTGCCTTTTGTTATTCATAATAAGCCCCTTTCAACCATACCCACATTATGTTGAGTGACTCTTGGAGGATGGGGGCTGCTTGCCAGAGGAACCAACCTTGAGGTTAGGGGGTTGGAACTTCCAGCGTCTCCCAAGGGAAGGGGAAATGGAATTTGAGTTCAGTTACCACAGGCCAAAGATTTAGTCAGTCATTCCATAAAACCCCTAAACAGTGGGGTTCCAGGAGCTTTGGGTTTGGTGAATGCTTGAAGGGTGGTGTACCTAAGGAAGGCACGATGCTCGGTGCCCCTTTCCCTTACACCTTGCTCTATGCATCTCTTCCATGTGGCTGTTCCTGAATTGCATCCCTTATAATAAATTGGTAATCACTAAAATGTTTCCCTGGGTTCTGTGAGCCATTCTAACAAATGATCGAACCTGAGGAGGGGGGTGTGGGAACCCTTTATTTATAGTTGGTCAATCAGAAGTACAGGTGAGAGACCCTGGGACTTGAGACTGGCATCTGAAGTGGGTGCAGTCTTGGACTGAGCCTTTAGTCTGTGGCATCTGCGTTAACTCTGGGCATTTAGTGTAAGAATGTTGGTAAACTGCAGGACACCCAGTTGGTGTTGGCTGAGAACTTCAGAATTGCTTGGTGTGGAAAATCCCACACTTCTAGTGTCAGAAGTATTGTAAGAAGGGGAAAAAGTGTTTTTCTTTTAAACTCCTTTGTGGTGCCATCCCCATTGCTATAGTAGTGCATTTATTTGTACGATTGGTTAACTCACATCAATCTCCTCCACTGGATTTACAGGAGAGCTGAAACTGAGTCCCTTTTGCTCGCTATTATATCCCCCGTGTCAAACACAGATATATTGCCGTGGCTTAATAATTATCTGTTGTATGTATGAGTAAATGAATAACAAAGTTAATGGGTTTCAGGAAAAATTGGTTAGAAGTCATGTGCATAGTAGAAAGGGCACTGGACCAGAGTCACAAATCTAGAACCTTATGCTTATTAAGCCAATGAACCAATTATTGATTTTTACTTCCTGAGTTAAGCACAGTGAATACCCAGGTTGGTCAGAAGAGTAAGATTCCATCCTTGACCCTGAGAATTTCACAGTCTACTTAGGGAAACAGTAGAATTGGCCTTGGCTTGGGGAGTAAGGTCAAGGGTTATACAGAAGGCCCTTTTACTCTGGTCTTAAGGGACAATAGGAGTTTGCTTTCAGACTCTGTGCAAATCATTCATCCTCACTTATTCTACAAAAGTTTTGAGAACCAAACAAAAGGGATGTTGCTTAAGTTCCCCAAGACTCAGGTTTTTCATTTATAAAAAGTGGAGATGATGCAGATATCCCTGCTTAACTCAGAGGCCTGTGGTGTGTTGGTAAATTGGAACTCATCATCATCTTTTCCAATCTCCATAGGGTGCTCTCTTGAACTATTGTTGCTGGAAAGTTATTTACAGCACATTTCTCAGACAACCTTGCAGCTAGGGCTACAAATGTGATTTAAGTTTCTCCACCTAGATCCAACAGCTCGTGATTTGGAAGATGGAAGGTAAGTAGGAGCCATCTTCCTGCTGCTTTGGCCGTTTGCTTACCCAGTTACAGAGATGTTTGCTCCCTGTTGCAGCAATGTTCCAGGACTGACTACCTAATTTTAAGCATGCTGAGAGGCAGTTGCATCAGCCATGACTTCCTTACGCTTATATTGCAGCCACAGCGATGTGTCTTTGAACTCAACAGATCCACGCGTGGCCTCCTGACCGCTCCCTGTGATTGACAGTGGTGAAGGCAGTGGGCCAGTTCGGCAGTATTGTTCTGGTGGTCTTTCCTGGAGGCCCAGGCTGGAGCTCGCTCCTCCAGCCCTTCCAAAAACTTTGTAGAAGTCAAATTCCTTCGTTAAATCCCTTTCTGACTAAAATAACTGGGGTGGAGGCTTGTGTTTCCTTCTACTGAAGCCTAACTCATAAAGGGCTAGTGTGCATTGCCAATGAGGCATTTAATGTAGAAGTGCTTTTCATTGATTCATCCATCCATCCATCCAACCATTCATGCATTCATGTATTCATGTATTCAATGAATACTTATTGAACATCTACTAAAACCAGATACTAAGCTTGGCACTAGGCACATGATGGTGAGTAAGTCAATATGGTCTTATAATCACGGACTTAGGGGAAGAGGCAAACAAAAAAGTAAGTAAGTAACAAACACTTAGGTAATCATAGTTGGTGCCGTGTTGTGAAGTGAATAAATAAGGGGTTGAAATAGAGGATAATTGAGGGAGTGGGAGGAGGAGAACTTATGGGCTCTGTCTGGGCCTGTCAATCTCTAGGCATCAGAAATTCTACTTTTTGTCCTCTTTAAAATCAATAATCCAAGGGCCCCCACCTTCAGAACTCAGGTGATCTGTTAACAAGATACCACAGAACATGTGAGTGACTTAATTGTGCTGCATGTCCCTCTTAGCATGTGGCAGTTGTCAAATGAACACACATGCAGAAGGGTAACTGCAAGCCCAGGAGGAGACCTGGCAGGGGAACCTGCCTTTGGTGAATTTATCACAGTCCAAGATCAAGTCCTCAGCCTCGTGGACTCTTGACTGGCCAAGAGTGTTCTGACTGTAGGTTCATCTTTTTGGGACGGGCATACATGAGCCAAGTCTGCAGAGATAAGTCATTATTAGAAAGACATCCTCTGAATCTCCACCCCGAACTATAAATGTCAAGGAAACTGACCACTTGACTCCTGACCCAGAACATTCTTTCCTCAAGGGCATGCTAAGTGGGAAGGCAAATAAGAGTTTGCTGGGTAAACCTGGAGTCAGTACAGGTATACCCTGTTTTCTGAAAGTTTGCCTTACACAACTTTACTTTTACAAAAGACCAGCCTTAGTATGGTAACAGTTTGTGTGTGTGTGTGTGTAAAAGTGAAAATCCTCTTTGGATTTCTTTCGGTTACTGAAAACTGATACTAATATAGGTCTTTTGTAAATGAGAAGTTGTGTAATACAAACTTTCAGAGAGCAGGGGATACTCTTTGTTTTACGCCATTCATCTCATGAAGATTTTACTTTCAGATAGCAGGAAAAACCTGTGCTAGCATGCTCAGTACTTAATGACGTGGCATCTGCTTGGTCTAGGGCTATCCACGGGCAGTACCTACATCTGCCTCAGTGGCTCTTCTTTCCATACCTCTGTGGTTATCAATCTCACTTCTGATGAACATTTTGGATGTGACACAAAGGGATGTCAAATACATGCTATTCTGCCATCATCCCCCCTCCAGTGCGCTGGCAGACATTACTAATTGATCTTGGCTCTATTTCCCACTGGGCCCAGATAGAGCTTCAAAAAATCCTTTTCTATATGGCACTCCAGGAGACCACAGTCAATTGACTGAAATTGACATTTAGGATGAAAATTCCTTTCTCTGGGTCAAAGGGCAAATCTGGTTATAGACTCCATCTACTCTTACTATGACTTGCATACCCATGTTTTATTTCATTCTCAGAGGGCAATTCCAAATTCTTGGTGGGAAATGTGGGCTCATGACTCATTTACATTTTGACTAATATCTTCAATGTCTTCACTCATTCATTCAATGAATATCTATTGGAAACTATTAGTACCAGCCTTGGGTCTCTCTGATGAACCCTACTCTCATGAGGCTTATTGCTCAGTGTTCTAAGCCTAGGAATGGTTCTAAAGATGGGAACTTGAAGCTGATCCACTGTAGAGTTAATGCTGGACTCCAGTCTTCCCCCAGAGGCAGGCACCTGTTTTTCTGCAGGGTATGGCTTGTCCTTTGGGACACTGGCACCCAAACCAGTGACAGCTCAGTTCCTTTTAGATTATATATTTTCTCCTTTGATTTGTGTACCTGTGGGCTGATGCTTATTTATGAAATCATGCAACAATACCTGAGCTTAGTTTTTGGAATACAAGGCTTTTTTACAAAGAGAAAAACATGTGCCCCTTACCTTTCAAAGGCAACTGCAGAAACAAAGGTATTTAATATTCTCCCAACACCCCAAGAAATGTTGGTTGTGCTGTAATAAGAAAGGGAGAAAATGATTCAGTTTCAGAAGTAAAAAAGTGACAGGACAAACAAAAAGAAGTCTGTTAGGAGGAAGCAATAACCTAGGAGAGGAGGAGAGCCTGCTGGAATGGAAAGACTGGCTGAGTGGGTTAAACAAAGCAGGGCAAGTGAGCTGCTGCTGAGCCCCTAGCCTGCCACCTCCCTGTGGATGAGACACATATGCTAAGGCTAATGGGTCAGGAAAGTTCCTGCTCAGGTTTGCCTGCTGTTTGCTCAGGGCCCCCACTGGGCAGTCAGCTCCTGCTTCCAGCACCGAGCTCCAGAGCTGGGAGAGGCCTCTCCTGTGTCCCATGGTGCGCTCCTGGCAACAGGCAACATGGGGCTTAGACACCTGCAGCTGGGGCTTGTCTATGATTCCCTCCCTTCACTGCCTCCTAGAAAAGTTTCTCCTTGAAAACAATGGGTGTTTAGAAGTGGCCTACTTTAATGTCAAGGAAGGAAATAAAAGAGAGAAAGGAGTAAAAGGAAAAACAGAAAGAGGCACTATAACAGGATGTGAAGGGCTTAGGTCACACGGTCAGCCCTGGGTTCAAATTCTGACATTGCCATTTACTAACATGGAGTTGCTGGATAAGCTATTAACCTCTCCAAGCCTCAGTTTCCTCCTCTATCAAATGGAGATAATTATGCTGATCTCATGAGGTCACTGCAAATGAGATAAGATATCTAAAATCCTTGGGCCCTTGGCCCATAGTGCAGTAAGGACTCAGAAAAGGTAACCGTGACAATCAAACTGAGTGAGGCTTTTGCTATTGACCGTGATGATGCTGGTGACCATCTCTCTGGGCTTCAGTTTTGTTATCTATGAATGACTTGATCCGAGTGATCTATGGCACCCCTTCTGAGAGTCTGTGCTTTCAAGATTAAGAGGAATTTAGGCTTAATAATGAAAGACAAACACAACTGACATTTGTATAGTTCATCAAATTTGCAAGTCATTTTATACAAATTTGCACTAGAATTTCATAGTCATTCTATGGCTAGGTGGAATTACCCCAATGTACAGTTAAAGAAACTGAAGTTTGGTAAAGTCAAGTGATCTGCTCAAGATCATGAGGTCAGCAAATGGCAGGATGGAGACTCGTCTTTCCAGCACAACACCAGACTGCATTTGGGGTTCCCTGAAATGCATTCACATTTGCACCTCTCAGTTTTTGCTCATCCCTTTTCCTCTGCCTGGAATGTCCTCCCTGTCAGAACGTCTCCTTCCAGATTCCATTAGTTCTGTTTCAGCCTTTCTAGAGCTTGCACCATGAACAGGCTACTATCACATATTATCCCCAGATGGCTGTCTCCTCCCTGGACCCTGGAAAGCCCTTTGAAGCAGATGCTAGTTTTTAATTGTCTTTGTATTCCTAGTTCCTATCATGTTATCTGACATATATTAGGTTCTCAATAAATTTTCAACCAATGAATGAATAGAAGTGATGCATATTGTTCATCAGCCTGGTTGGGGAAAGAGATGGTTTTGAGGCAGTATAAAAATATTGGAGAATCAATCTATTTTACAATGGCTCACATGAGTCAACCTTTAAAAAAAAATGAGACCTTTGTCTTTGGAATTTGTATAACACTTACTGAAACCTATTAAAAATGACAATGTACATTCTTAAGAAATTTTGATTGGTCAGCATTTTCAAGGTGACATTTGGGAAAATAATTACATCTAAAGGGCTAAATTTGCCAAGTATTATTCAATTTCAGGTATGCCACAAACAGACCAACACAAAAGTGATGTGTCATGAATGATTCGTCCAATAGACATCTTACTTCTTTAGGGCCTGTTATTTCTTTCTCATCCTGGGCTTAAGGGTCATTTATCTTATCCCCCAAAGGTTCAGTGTGATGGTTGTTTTAGACTACTTTGATAGGACTTTAAATGTCATGGCTCTGTGTAGGAGGAGGCGATTCAAGGTTAACGAGAACTCAGACCACACTGAGTGTAAATCTGGCCCTTTGGATTGACAGCCGTGGGTGAGAGACACTGAAGATTTCTTTGCACAAACATTAGATGTGGTTTGACCTTTCTTGGCAAAGGAAATGAGCTGACTCATTCTGAGCCAAGTGGAGCTCTACTGGGATTAAAGATTCAGGAAGATCAATTTGAGAGCTGGAAGGGATCTTGAGGGGATCTCTACATGTATATATATTTATATATGTATGTGTATATTGTATGTGCATATATGTATACATGTATATTTGTATATGTATGTATATTTGTGTGTGTGTGTACTCATTCTCATCCATTTGTATGTTTGAGGCAGCAGATTTGCAGAGATACACCAGCTATAGACTAAATGTTTATGCACCCCCCCCAAATTTATATATTAAAGCACTAACCCCCAAGTGATAGTGTTTGGAGGTGGGGCCTTTGGGAGGTGATTAGGTTTAGATGAAGTCAAGAGGAGGGAGTCCCGATGTTGGGATTAGTGCCCTTATAAGAAGAGGAAGAGAACAGAACTTTCTTTCTCTCTCTGCCATATGAGGATATAGCAAGAGGGCAGCCGTCTGCAAATCAGGAGCTTTCTCCAGACACCAAGTCAGAGGGTACCTTGATCTTGGACTTCCCAGCCTCCAGTACTGTGAGAAATAAATATTCATTGTTTAAGCCACCCAATCTATAGTATTTTGCAATAGCAGCCTGATTAAGATAATACTCAAGGGGTTTGTGAAGCCCATGAAAGTAGCATGTGTGTACAACTTTTGCCAACTTCTCAAAAAAAGGTCCCTGGAGGCTGGCTTGTTTCTCCCTCATTTTTCATGTTCTGTTGAGAAGGAAGGATTTTTGTTCTACTCCCTGACAGGTCAGAGGATGGGAAGCCCATTCCTGGCTTCATTCTCTCAGCCATCTGGCCCAGTCCTCCTCTGGAGCAATCTCTCTGGTTGGAGAGTCGGATTGTGCGCCTCTGAGAGTGGCCTGGACTCTCTCCACAGAATCTACCTGCTATGGAGGCAGCACTAGCTTTACGGGCATGCAGCCTATGCAGTTGTGCAGGCCCTGTGCTTGATTTAACCTTCTGCTGTTGCCATTTAAAAATTACTAACAATTGTTGAATGCGGGCACTGAATTTTTATTTTGTACTTGTCCTTGCAAATTATGTAGCTGGTCCAGGAGTGAAAGCACATTACCACTTGCTCTCCATTGTGGGGAAGTGTTGAAGAGGGGGAAGCCAGCAGTTTTGGAGGGTACATTTCAATTTAAAGGGGGAAGTTTCAGGAAGCCCATTTGGCTACAGAACCTCGGCTTACTCTTCCACCAGCCTCCCTGGCTAGTCGAGGGGTCCGAGAGGCTTTGTTGCATGTTGGTTATGAGTGTGGGCCCGGGCACCACCTCCAAGTACAAATCCTGCCCTTTCAGATGACATGGCCGTGGGCAAATGGCTTAAGCTTGAGGCCCAATGTTTTCCATCCTGTAATACTGCCAAATGATCTGACATGTCTCAGTACTTACTGGTCCTAGAACATAGTAAGTGTTACTAATGACTGCTATTATATTAAGATCTCCATGACTTCTGTACCTTATTTCTCTTGATTTAGAATTCAGAAGGGAAAGATAGGATGTTATTTATTGAGTTTCTGTAAAATTCATGTCTCAAGAAAGGTTAAGAATTACCAAGAATTCGATGCAGGATAGACTGATATGAGAACATCCTTTAGAAGGATCCTTCCCTGCTGTCAAGGAGTTTGTAAGTTCATTCTCTGGAAACTGATAGTGCAAGGTAATATGGGAGAAGAGCTTTACCCTTTGGAATCAGCTGGTGACAGATGAACCCCTCTCATTTAAAAAAAATTTTATTAAGTCCCCTCTCATTTTTAAAAGAAGGCTTTTTTAATCATCATCTTTGTGACCTCCTCCCAGGGCACCACAGATGGGTATCTGTCCTTCCCTAGACAAAAGTTGCATGTATTATCTGAGAGGATGATGTGTTTATAAGAGATTTGGTTTTCAACTCAATAAATCAAGTCTAGTGCAGTATTTGGGTAGCCTCTATGACTGGCTTAATAATTCTCTAGAATCATCTGATTGTTTTCTCAACTCCAAAAGGGGGATGATTATTTATTCTTTCACATCATTCCTGACCTCAAGAAACTTATAGACTAGTGAGGTGACCAAAATGTAGATGGCCAGTGACTACACAGGGTGTGCAAGGTGGTAGAAGGAGCATCTTATTCCTTGTGGGCTGCTGTAGGAAATTATGACAGACTGAGTGGCTTAAGTGACAATTTATGTCTCACAATTCTGGGAGGCTGGAAGTCTAAGATCAGGGCCAAGTTCTGGTGAGGACCCTTTTCTGGGTGTATTGGTGGCTGTCTTCTTACTGTGTCCTAACTGGGTCTCTGACCTCTAAGGGCACTAACCCTGTACATTAAGGCTCCATCCTCATGACCTACTCACTTTGCAAAGGTGGTACCTCCTAATGCCATCATGTTGGGGTGGGGGACAACAAGCATTCAGTCCATTGTGAGAAGGAGGGGTGTTCTGGCTGCCTACAGGGCCAGCTGGAAGAGCTTCACAGAGGGGTGAGTCTTGAACTCTGTTGAAATAAAAATAGAGTTTTCATGGTAGACAGTGGCATGTGTGTGTGTGTGTGTGTGTGTGTGTGTGTGTGTGTGATGAATGTTTTAAGAAAAGTAAAATGAAAGTAAAAATATTAATGTGCAGATAGAGCCTGCTCTTCTGGTGGCAGTTGCTTCAATTTTGGACTTACTGGTGCTGTAAATGAACGTCTTATTTACATATTCTTCCCACCAAAGACTCCCTTGCTCTTTCTTTCTCCCCAGAATGCCTTTATGTTTCAACAATCATCCCCTTTTGCAATTCATACCTGGTTTGGCAAAATTTCTTTCTGGGAGTTCAACACTGGTAGGTCGTTTTCTAAATGACCACAATGCGATAAAGTTTCGAAAGGTTTCAAACGACTTCTGACAGGCTCCTTCTGAGTGAGGGTGCCACGGGGAGAAGGGGGCAGGACGGATGACTCAGCAGAGGCCAAGCAGGCTGAGACGCAGAGGGGCCTGGCCTGAGCGGGAGACACCTTTCATGCCAGAGCTCTCAGTGAGAGGCTGCTCGCAGCATCTAAGGCAAACGTGTGCTTCCACTGTCAAAAGGCAAAGACGAAGTGCCTCAAAATATGTCCCAGGTTTGAGCTCAGAACAAGAGCTCTGCTGAAATCCTGTGTGGTGAGTGAAATCTGTGAGGGGGCCTTACCGCACCCCGCCTGAAGGAAGTCTTCTGCATGGTCTGGCCGTGGGACCTCAGTCTCCACATCTGCAGTGTGGTGCCCTGCGTCTCAGGGTAACCCCCAACGAGATGCCTGCAACCTGGAAGGTGCTTTAGGCATTATTATCATTGTTTATTTATTCCACATCACATAGCATGTGTTGAAGCTATCAAAAAACAAAGAAACTAGCCCAAATTAAATAGAAACAAAGCAAAGGAAAAAAGGGGGAGAATTTTTTGAAGGTGCTATAAAATGCCCCAGGCTGGGAGGCTTAACAGAAATTTGTTTCTCACAGTTCTGGAGGAAGGAAATCCAAGATCAAGGTGCCAGCAGATTTGGTTCACGGTGAGGTCACTCCTCTGGGTTTGCAGATGGCTGCCTTCTCGCTGTGTCCATACTCGGTGGGGGGTGGGCCGGGGGTCGGGGTGGTGGGGGGAGAGAGAGAGAGAGAGAGAGCTCACTTCTCTTCTTATAAGGGCACTAAACCTAATCACGAGGACTCCACCCTCATGACCTGATTACCACTCAAAAGCCCCATTTCTCAATACCATTAACTTGGGGAACAGTGTTTCAACACAGGAATTTTGGGTGTACACGCACATTCAGTGCATAGACAGAGGACTTGTAAAGCTTGTAGCCGTCGTCATCCCCAAGGCCCAGAGCCTCAGAGAAAGGCAGAAGCTCTATGCAGGAGGCCACAGGCCTGTCACAACAGACAGGAAAAAAGGTTTCTGTTGAAATTTACATCAATGCTACAAAGGATGCCTTTCTTCCTTCCATCTCTCCTTTACCTGTCCCGTGATGGGCCTAGTGCTAGACACAAGGGCAGGGCTCCTCTGAGCGTTCCCAGACCACAGGGGACAGAGGCCTTGGAGCCCACCGTCCCCACGCCATGTGCAAGTAGCTAGAATGGCGGGAGGGCGTTGAGGTGGTGTCAGATGCCAAGGGCTCCTGAGACTGATGCTGGCAGTCACGAGACCTGCTTCCCGTTTGGCCTGTTCATTACAGGTTTGAGTTCTTATTTACTTGTATGTGAATATTTATTCCTATACTTATGTACTGAATATTCATTTATAAAGTGTCAGAAGCAGGATTTATACTGTAGTCCTGGTGGACCACATCTGATCATCATTTGAGCCAAGGCACCCACAAAAGCCTGACTTCTTGAGATCTTTTCTGACAACACTCTCCTTTACCTTGATGCAAGTTGCAGGGAGGATGTTCCCCTTTGGTCTAAAATATACTGTGCTTTCATTGACTCAGAATAGGTCATCAGACCCTGGTGATTGTCCCAGTATAACCCTGCTCATTTCATGCTCATTCACTTCACTTCATTGCAACTCAACTTAATTGAATTCAGTTCGGTTCAAAACATCTGTGAGGAGTTTCCAGGCACTGGGGAGGCCCAAGGACCAGGCACTGGCTGCTATTTCCGGGTCTTGGCAATTTCCCTATTGGCCACTGGGTGGCAGTGTGTCCCATGAAATTTTCATTGTGCCGTGCTGGCGGGGCTCCTCCCCCAGCCTAAGGCTCAAAGATTCTTGCACCTCACTTGGATTTGTTTAATGCACATTTCCAAATTGAATCGACAGCTCGTATTATAGCTGTGCGTGTGCAGTATATGTGTTTAATTATACTGTGGAATTAAATTCAAAAGGGTGAGAATGTGGTTACATGTGCACATTTCCAAAGCCTGCTCGAGTTAGCAGCTTTTGCCCAGGCCCAGTCAGAGGTGGTGAAGCTGCAGGGGAAGCTGAGAAAAGCCTCAAACCCAGAGGAAGGTGGCATCTACTTGGAGCAAAAGGGAACTGTGCAAACTCTGCTTCCTGGGCCACTGACAGCCACAGCCCTGAGGTCTGGTCCTACCCACCTGCGGCCCCGCGTTCAGACACGTCCCTTCTGTGCTCTTCCTCTAGCTCCTAGCTGGGTGGTCTCATGAGAACCGGCCTTCGGGGGGCCTGCATATTGCCCCATCCCTCCGTCCCCCAGCATCCCTTACTCCTACGTCCTACAGAGAACAGCAGCTTTACTATGTGGAATATCAGTGACTGTAGAATGGCATTAGACAGGGCTTTACTGTCCGCAGATGTCTCTAATGGTGCCAATTCAGGCACTGGAAGGTCAATGCTAACAGTTACTAGAATGGAAAGTCTTCAAGGTTATTTCCATAGCATCCTTAGCAAGTAGGATTCATTTATGTTGAATACCTCAAGTGATAGGGAACTCCCTGTCTCACAAGTAGATCCTTTCCTTCGTGATTGTTTTGTTTAAAAAGGGCTTATTTTCTTTGAGTTGAAATCTGGCCTCCTGTGGGTTTTAACTGCAGACCTTATTCTTTCCTCTAGGGCCACACAGGGAAGACCTGTGGATCTTGTTTATATTGCACATTTTGATCTGGTGGATCTGGGTAGGGCCAGAGATTCTGCATCTCTCACAAGCTCTCAGGTGATGCTGTCCCTTGGTTCAAGGAAACCACTGTGAGTAGCAGGGGACTAGAGGAAAAGCCTTGGGCTTTAGAATTATCTCTGGATTTAAATTCTGGCATCACTCTCTAGCTCTGTGACCTTGGAAAAGGTACTCAAGTTCTAACCTACAAAATAGGCATTATAAAGCCTAAGTAAATAATGCTTAATTCTTTTATTATGTGAGTTAAATGAAATTGTAAGTTCATTTTGTCTAGGAATGCTTTCAGCGGCAAGTAAAAGAAACTTGACTAATACTGGCTTAAACCATTCGAGTTAATTTTTCATGCCTAACAGGAAGCACAGTGAATGATAAGTGACTATTAGCATTTGCTCAGCTGCTCATTGATGCAGTCAGGTATCCAAGTTTTTTAGTATCTCCTTCCCTGCTATGCTTAGCATTTTAACTTTTCATTCTCATGCTTCTTGCTGCATGGTCACAAGATGGCTGCCATTTTAGTCCAAGCATTATATATACATTCAAGGAAAGAATAAAAGGGGATGTCTCAAAAATGGCAGTCTGATTCTTTCATCCGGAAAGCGGAGCACTTCCCAGAAGACCTCCTGCAGAGTTTTCCTTAAGTCTCATTGGCCAGGGCTGGGTCACATAACCCCTCTTAGTTTTACAGGATCTTGGCATAACAAATCACTGCCAAAAAGGAATGGAATTTTTATGGTTCGTTACCTTAGGCTTGCCAAATTGCTCTGAACAGAAGTGTAGTTTTGTCGGCAAGTGTCTCAGTCGTATATGGCCTGCTATAACGAGGTATCATAGACTGGGCGGCTAAAACAACAACTATTTATTTCTCAGTTCTGGAAGCTGGGGAGTCCAAGATCCAAGCACCAGCAGGTCCAGTGTGTGATGAGGCTCGCTTCCTGGTTCATAGATGGCTGTCTTTGTACTGTGTCTTCACAGGGAGGAGAGAGGGTGAGACAGCTCTCTGGGCTCCTTTTCACAGGGCACTGATCTTATTTATGAGGGCGACACCCTGAAATGCCTTGTAAGAAGTTGAGCTCCCTGAGGCCTCCACGCTGTCAGGACACACGTCACACATGTAAGTGCTTTTTAGTTTGCAGTCCTGGTCTTCCAGTTATCCTACCCCAGGTCCCAAGGTGAGTGCATGAGGCTTCGGATGATTCCAGTTCACCACCCTTGGGTCTTCCTAGCTGAGGCCTTGGCATTGGGCAGAGGAGACAAGCCGTTCTTACCAGGCAGTCTGACTTCCCAACCTACAAAACCTGAGCATAATTCAATGGTTCTTGTTTTAACCTATTAATTTTGGGGATAATAACTTCCTTAGTAATGGTAATTGTAATAGAAGCTAATAGAATTTGTCACAGAATGTTTCCCACAGTGCCTGACAGAGTAGGTGCTCAAACTATGCTACTTACTAGAACGTCTCTTCACTCTCACCGAAACTGTTTATGTCTTTGGTACCGATGACTAGACTAAGCAAGCTATGATAGGTATCTTAATGTCTTTCCAATGTTTCTCCGCTTGAGTTGATTCCATGTTCCTTTATCAGCCTGCTTGCTTTCCTCTCAGTGCATCCCTGGTGATACGCCCTATTTGAAGTTTGGCTTGCAAATCTAATGATAGTAACAGTGAAGATTCATCAAATGATTACTATGTGCCAAGCCCTTTGATAAGCACATTACTTAATGAGGTAGACACTCATACCCATTTTAAAGTTGAGGATACTGAGGCACAGAGGGGGCGAATACTTGTTCATGGTAACAGAGCTAGTACGTGTTGGAAGCCAAAAGCTCTAGTCTAGCTGTTCTTCCTAATGGAAAGCAGTATGTTGGCTGTATTAAGACCATTGCAATAGGATCATGGGCCAGGTGGTGTCTTTGAGATTCTATGGGGTTGCAGGGAGAAGAGACATATTGTGTATATGAATAGTTCAGTAAAAACCATGCTGGAAGAAGAAGAAGCCATCTGGAAGATTTGTCAGGTCTCCAAGTTCCTATCTCTTGAGAAATCTTAACATTCTCTGGCCTCTGATATTTGTCCTTTCTGTGCTAGTTTTCAACACCATACCTGTCCTTTGTCCATGGACCGTTTGTACTGGCCACGTGTAATCCCCTTTCCTCTGCCTCCTCCCACTCTGTATCCTTTCCCAGTCCATTCATTGCTCACTGCTGCCATTCAGATGCTCAGTGGCGGACCACCTCTCTCTGCTTGACTACCCAAAATGGCCTTGCGCTCCAGCCCCACCAGTGTCCTATTTCTGAGAGCAAAAACAGGTTAAATTTATCTTAGGAAATATTTCAGGGGTCCTGGTTATCACTACTTCCTTTTTCAAGTGCTCATAATACATCCCTTCCATTTATAACTATATTAGAAAATTTTCACTTGAGTTTGACATCAAAATCACTGAACCCACCTTCTTTTGGAGAACTAGAATAACAACATACTTGTCTTCTGTCACCTCCCACGGTCACTCCCTGTTTACTTGCCAGAGCTAATCACTTAGACTTTGAAAGCGTCTTTTAGTTTTCACTGCTTTTATTTATTAAAAAACTCAATTTTTCCCCTTAATTTTAAAATTGTGAACTTTTTCAATTTACTTTCTGTTAGAATTCTCATACCTTTTATTTTCTCTTCTATGACAAATTTATTTCATTCAATAATCATTTTTGACATTATTTTGACTATGAAGAGATTGCTGAGCCAGTTAGGGTACTAGGATCATATTATAAAAGTTTAATAAGCAAGTGAATGTAGAAGAAAACATTATTCTCTTACTTAGTCGTAGCCTAACATTTTGCCCCAGTTGTTCCAGGTATAAAACACAGCATGAGGGATGCAATTGAGACCTTCCTCTTCCTAATCTCATTCTTGTCCTCCTCTCCTAACTTTCATAGAACAATCACCATCCTGAAGCTGGTGTTTGTTATTCTGTGAATTATTATTTTTTACTTGTATTCTATATGCATGTATTTCTAAATTGTATATAG